CCCCCCCACCCCCTCAATAATCACCTGCTCCTGAGTCTCTACTTCTCAGGCTCTGCTGCCGGCCTGAGCCTCTGGCAGGCCGACCTGGGGAGACCCAGAATGTCCTTAGAAGTGTTCACGTCACCCTGTCCCCCCCACCCCGGCCCCCTGATGGACAAGCCAGAGCACGCCCACTCCGCTCCTGGGCCCTCCAGCTCAGGGCACTCCCAGAGAGGGCCAGGGCCTGCTCGGGCCCCCAGAGCTAACAGGGGGACGGATGGGGCCCTCTGAGCCGGCGGGCCTCCGTGCACGGTCCGGCTCTGCGCTCTGCAGCTCCGAGTCTCGAAGAGCGTGGCTCGGCTTTTATGAGCTTCTTCAGAGGCTCAGACGTGACAAGGTCACGAGACAGGGACACGCAGGGGCCTGCTGGTAGCATTTATTAGTCCGAAGAGTCCTCTTCGCACGGAATGCAAATAAATACACGTCTCAGCAGCGATACCCGTCCAGGCAGTGCAGTCTTTCCCCTCAGATGCACCTTCCTGCCCTGGACGTGCCTGCCGCAGACACGGGAAGGTCACGCTTGCGCCGCCTGACCTGCGATCTGCTCTTTCGTCAGCGGGCACGGTAGCTGCACTGAGCCCTGCTCACTGCAGCTGAGCTGACTCCAGCCAGCAGGCCCTGGGGCGACACAGGGCTGCTTTAGGCCTCTGCCTGTGTCCCGTCCGTGGGAGTAGGTGGCAGCCGGTGTTTTTGGTGGATTTCCTGGGCAGAAACAGCCCCGGAGCGTCAGTGGTGGGAGCCTGAGGGTGCCAGCGGAGAGCGCCTCTCAGGCCACCCCCCCACCACCCCCCACCCCTCGCCAAAAGTGACTGTGATGAGAATCCTAAACTGACTGTAGTGACTCATGGTCTTATATAATCCCCTGCCTCTGAGTGCACTACTTGCGTATAACCAATGGAATATATGATAAAGCTAATGGTTACAATTCAACTCCTGTGATTATAACGTTATATTAGACTCCAATTTAGCAGGCAAGGGGAAGTTTATCTTGCTGTCTTTGAAAATTCAACCTGTCGTGTAACAAAGAATTACAGGCAGCCAGTAAGAGCTACAAATAATATTTAGACTGAACAGATAGCCTCCAGCAAGGGCCCCAGACAAGGAACTGCTAGGTGAATTTTACCAACAACTTGAATGACCATGGAAGCAAGTCTTTCCCTAAATGAACCTTCAGATGAGAACACAACCTAGCCAACACTTTAATGGCAGCCTGGTAAGATCCTAAATCTGAGAACTAAGCTGTACTACTTAGAACTTTTGATCTGAAGAACTATGATATAATCTGTACTGTTACTTTAAACTACTAAGTTTGAGGCAATTTATGATGCAGCATAGAAAAATATGCTCTAGAAAGCAGCATTTTTAACAAGTGTTATTTATTTGTACCTTTCTAAATTTTCTAAAATGTCTCTAGAAAGCAGCATTTTTAACAAGTGTTATTTATTTGTACCTTTCTAAATTTTCTAAAATGTTATAGTAAGAATCATTGCTTTTAAAATCAAAAGATGTCATTTTTTTTTAAAAAAAAAAAAAGTATGTTCTGCAAGTTTTTAAACTGATTTTGAATTTGGTAAAATAACATTTTTAAAGTGTACAATGAAAATATAGCACTAAGATTACCCCAGATTTCTATTTTTTAAATTATCTTAACAGAAGATTTTATTTAAATCATAGACTGTTTCTGAAATTTTAAGCTTTCTATATTTAATAATGCCTGCTGGGAGAAAAAAAAAAAGAAATCATACTTTAAAATTTTTCTTTCCAATTTTGACCATGATTTAAAATGGAAAAAGTTATGTTGATTGTGGCTAAATGTTCTCATTTTTAGAGACCATTATGCACTTTAAATTCTCTGTTGGCATTTTAATTTCATCTTACAAAATAAATCCCAACTGACAACAGAATAAAGCAAATTCTAAGTCAACTAAGCGAAAAAGTGTCACCGCAAACAGAAAGAACTTTGCAAACTGATGCAACATTTCATATGGCTCCTGAACCTAAATTCCAAAGTTTCTCTGGGGAAAAAAAAAATTGTGTGCATGTATGTATGTATGCATGTGTGTTGGGGGTAAAAGTTAACAACTGAAATCATCTCCACAATATAATGTTAATTATTCAACTAGGTACTTAAACCTAACTTTAGTATTGTAGAAATTTCTTGCCCAAGAAGATGAAAATTGCAGTAACTATATCTTGTTTCAGGAAATTCCCAAAATTCCAGTCAACTGTTATTGGAATAGATACCCACTTCTCATGACAATAGTTAGCTTAATCAAGCACCTATTGTGACTCTTTACTCTTTAAGATTTGCTTCGAATTCCTTACCTTGCTATATCTACTAATTAGAAAGTACTATCTCATGAGTTTTGCCAATTCTAATTTAGCACTAAAAGGTCTATCTTTTTTTTTTAAGATTTATTTGTTTATGCATACAGAACTGGGGTACAGGCCAGAGGTACAGGGGGCAGTGAGAGGATTCACCAGAGACAGAGTGGGGAGCAGATCAGGCCCACTGACAAAGTGCACTGCTAAGGGGAGCATCAGGCAGTCAGGAGAGGTCTGTGGCGCCATATGGATCACCTCTGGGGTTGGCAGGTGATTGAACTCATGCATAAGTGGCTTTAGCTTCTTAGTGCTGTGCTTTAACCTGCTGTGCCACCAGGGAGGGCCCTAAAAGGTCTATCTTAAACCCATAAAATTTTGCAAATATGCCACTCTTAGTCTCCCTTCTCAGAGATGTTATGAAGACTGTCAAGTTAGTGATGCCACATACAGCAGTAAAAAAAAATTCTGCTTTGCTTTATTAACAGGTTTTTTAAATATTATTTCAGAGTCAATATACAGCAGTCTTCTTGTGAACCCATCAACATACAAAAGAGTCTCCACAGAGAAACACAGTAATCCCCAAAAGCCCCTTGGATCTCTTCCTCAAAGTCTACATTGAGTTTAGCTTTCACTCTTTTCCATGTAATTTCCCCAAATGGTGAGTTTATTTTGATTTCTTGCAATATGAAACCATTTAGAAATTCTTTTATTTATCTGATAAGATTCAAAAATTTGCATTCTTAGTGGAAACTCGACTAATTACTAAATATTCCATAATTACTATTTATCTTTGTCCTATCATTTTTCTGTTGTGCACATGTGTGAGAAAGTTTATAGAGAAGAGAAAGGGAACATAAGTCTATGAGAAGACCATTCATTGAGCTAGCCTGGGAATGGAGAATTACAGGTTTCCTCTCAAACTATCATTCTTTTGACAAACTCTGCCCTGGTTAAGTTATCAAAACTCTATGGGAACTTCCCTCTATCTTGAGTTGTTCCTGAGTTTCTGATTCTGAGAGAGGTTGGCTGTCTAAACCTTTCTATGCTCCAGGCAATATAAATTGAACTTTCAACTGAACATTTCAAGGTCATTACAGTGGTGGTCTAATTCACAAAAGTACATAAGCAGCAATTATTTTTTCTATTTCTAGACTTTTGTGAATTAATCTCAGTCTAAATCTATGTTTTCACCTACTCTTAGCTGGAATCTTCTTTCTCAGATGTATTTAGACTACATCTCAATTTTTCTACTCCTGTTTTCATAAATGTAGAATTTCATAATCTCATCAATAGATAGTTTACTGTAGAGAGCCTTAAATATGAACAAAATGGTTGATTTGAAGAGCATCACAGAACAGAAAAGGAACAAAATACCTAAGTGTTATTGATCTGCATACTGTTATTGGAATGAGAAAATATGCTAGGGGAATTTAGATTCCAAAGTTACTTTATCAAAAGAGTTTTTGGCCAAAGCTAAAAAATTTTTAAAACATAAAATTAGTTCTTTTTTTTTTTTTAGATTTATTTATTTATATATGCAGAACTGGGGTACAGGCCAGAAGCGGTGAGAGAATTCACCAGAGAAAGAGTCGGGAGCAGAACAGGCGAACTGACAAACTACACTGCTGAGGGGAGCAGCAGGAGGGTCAGGAGAGGTCTGCCACACCATGTGGGTAACCTCCAGGGCCGGGGATGAACTGGCACTCAAGAGGCTGGCTTGCTTGCAGTGCTGCACTTTAACCCACTGCACCACCAGGGAGGGCCTAACACTAGTTCTTTTTATGACACTAGTTACAACTAAGGTAGCAGTTGTAGGTTCATTCTGGGCCCTCGCTGGTGGCACAGCAGGTTAAAGCACAGGACTAAGAAGCTGAAGGCACTTCAGCATGAGTTCGATCCCCACCCCGGAGGTGACCACATGATGTGGCAGACCTCTCCTGACCCGCCCACTGCTCTCCTCAGCAGTGTACTTCATTGATCTACCTGTTCTGCTCCCAACTATGTCTCTGGTGAATCCTCTCACCACCCCTGCACCTCTGGCCTATTCCCCAGTTCGGTGTGCATAAATAAATAAATCTTAAGAAAAAAAAAAAAGGTTAATTCTTAGACTCATGTCTCTCAATTAAATAATAAAAGCACTTTCAGACTGCACCAAACAGAAATCTCAGGGTAAAAATTCTCAAGAACCCTCCAGAATCCGATATTCTTCAGAAGGATTGCTTCCACCACAATCTTTGTATTAAGTAGGAGACTAGAAAGATGCCAACAGCATATACCCAAAAACAAGACCATGGATTGCCACACTTCAATCTACATTCTCTTGTCTAACTCCCTGGCTGTCCTCTTTCTTATTTTGCTGGTCTTAAGGCTGTGTTTAACTATTTTTAACTACAAAACCCCTGTCAGTATTGTTTTTTCATGCTTTGTTCTGCCTTCAGTTTCTTCATGAATTGATTCAAGCATACAACCTTTCAAACTGCTGGGTTTCTACCTATTTTCCTCTGATAGCCGCACAGCTTTGCTTTGTACTAGTTCTCATAATGAACCATTGGCCTCCTAGGTAACAAGATCCAACTATTAAGGAACCTAAGATGGCAAATACCACAACAGCCCAGAAATCCAGACATTTAAAATTTCCTATTACACTGTATCATGTGAAGGAAGTTTCTATCTCCATTAAATATTTCTTTCTCTCTTGGTTATTGCTGCATCTCAGAGGTTCTGGTAGCTCATTTCTTCATTTTTGTTTGTCTCTTAGTGTTTTCTAGAGACAGTTTTCCTTATCTTTGTATTTTATCTAATGTAGTTTGGTGTATCAAATATAGGATTCTGGAAAGCTGTTCTTTTCTTGTGGTATGTGCTAACATGTTCCCTTGAGGTCTCAATGTGTCATGAATTGTATTATCCCATTTGCTTATTTTGCTGCTCTAGATTTCCCTTTATTTTTATTTGAATATCTGTAGCCATAGCTTCCACATTTGTAGTACTGCTGCTTTTCTAGCAGGTGTACTATGGCTTCATTTTTTTCTTTTAGCTTTTCCTAGCTTTGTAAAATTTTAGATGTCTGTCCTTTCTGGATTTCCATAAGTTCAGAAGCTTGATTTTGCAGTTTATGAGTCAGGTGGAGAGGAAAGCCTCGGGGATTCCAGGGGGTTCCAGCCCTGGTGGTGAAGAGGGCTGGCTCATGTTTGTGGTGCCACCATTATCCCTCTCCTTTCAGGTTCCAGACCTAGTCCCTGCTGTTTATGTGCTGTCAGTGGAATCCACAAGATAAGTACCAGACCTTGAGATATAGGGAGGTGACATAGAGTACTGTCCTTGTTCTTTTCACAGGAAATACCCCATCTTCTCCATATGTATCTCCTCTCAAAAGGGTTGCGCCTCCACACTGTTCATCTCTACCCTACCCAAGATCGCTGGCCAAATGACAGTGCTGTGGTTTGTGTGGCAGCCTCTCTCCCTGGACCAGAGGCTCCAGGCATTTTTCTCCACCCACCTCTTAATTAACAGTGTTTGAATCTCCTCATTGTCCCTTTTGTTGTGTTCCATGCTAATCTATGATGTCCAAAATATGTTCCTGGTCTGCTCTTAAGAAATGAGACTCTCTGGGTATAGTGTCCATCTGGGTTAATTTTCAGATAACTCTTCTGGTAGTAAAGCAAGTAACCTCCTCTGATGTAATATTCAAAAAGTTATTTTTTTTAGTTTATCAACACATTAAAAGTGAACATTCAAAGTTAATCAAAAATATGGTCATTGTTAGCCTTTTATCAACTCCATATTCAGTAAATAACATATTTAAACATGTTATTTTGCCTCTTAATCACATCATGGTGTTTTGGCTAATTGAATTGGGAATTAAAATTTTAAAATAACTTTGTGAATCATGCATAAGATTAAGAGATTCTGTTTAAGGTCTTTTTTTCCCCATTCTCTGTATATCTTTTTTTAAAAGCCTTGCTGGCATCTGTCTAAGACTCCAGAATCAAAACTTTTGTTTTCCATATTTTCAATTTTGAAAACATTGCTTTTATAAGAAAACTTTTTTTATATAAAATACTCTTCCTTTGGAATTGAAGGAAACCACTTATTTCTAACAATCTATTGACCACAGATTTTATTTAAACCTACTGCCACCACGAATCAATGCTAAGTGAGCAATAGGTAATGTTTTCCCGTACCCATATTTGACTCCCCCAATTACCTTCCATCCAAACCAATATTCACACATTTCAATACACCTCTGTAAGGAAGGTCTTCTCTTTTGTTTTCTTTTTTGAATAGAACTTAGTATGTGCTCCACTGTAGCAAAACCATACCACAGCTTTAAACCTAAACCATAGCTTACTTCAAAATGTGATTTGAAATTACTCTATTTGTTATCAGTATAAAATGCTAGTAGGATTACCTAAGGAAAAATTTAGAGAAATACATAACAAATAAATTGAATAGTCTGTAGGGCTAATGACTGGAATATGATAAATATAGGAAGCTAATTCTGTTCAGGATTCTTTCTTTAAATACAAACATACAAACAATTTGGATGATGATAAACATAACAGCATTGAATTCCTCTTCTCTTGCCACCTGCCAATTTTAGTCTTTCAGGACTGCCTCTCTCGTGACTGACACCACCATCCTATCCAGGATAGAAGTCATCCTTGACTTTGCCCTCAAAGTCCTGAGGTTTTGCTTCCTGGATATCTCTCAAATCTTTCCAGTACTTTCTGCCTCCACTGCAAGGGGTTGTCATCTCTAGTCTGGATTACTACTGCATTCTTCAACACATTCTCCAAACTGCTACTAGGATTTCCTTTTTTGATTTCAATCTGACATAACATCTTCCCATAACTTACAGTCAAAAAAAAAAAAAATCAAAGGAAAACCATTTAAGCTAGCAACTCAAAGCTAAATATTTCCTTGTCAAAGAAATACCTGTAAGTAAAAAAAATCCACTGAAGGAGGGAAAAATCACAAGTGCCAAAAAGGAAGCATTTATCATGTTCATACTAAGGTTTCGTTAGCATTTATGATAATCTGCAATCCAAATCTTGTATTTTGTTAAATTATCATCTTCCAGTACTTACCATAGTTATAGTTAAGCACATTTTACAAATTGTCCTAGTGTAACACAAGACAAATTAAACTCAAATTTTTCTCCTGAATGACAGCATCTTAGTCAAAATACCACACTAGGTAGCTTCAAAACAACAGAAATTTATTTCTCACAGTTCTGGAGGATAGAAATCTGAATCAAAATGTCAGCACGGTTCGATGAGGGTGTTCCTGGGGATTGCATACTTCTCTCCTTATATTCCTGCATAGTGAAGGGCTTAGAGAGTTCTGTAGGCTCTTTTTTGTAAAAGCTGACCCCTTTCATGAGGTTCTATCATTATGGCCTAAGCTCCTCCCAAAAGTCCCTTACTAATACCATCATATTGGGCATGAAGATTTCAACACAAGAATTTGAAGAAGACAGACATTCGGGCTATAGCAGATAATAAAGAAGATAGCACTCAAAGAAAAATAGAACTAGATGGGTACTGATTTAGTAGGCCAAAGGAAGCATAAACTTAAGCTTGGAAGAAGCCTGTAAGCAGTAAGTGGGTTCTTGTTCTCCCCTCAGAATCCTTAAAAGACAGAAATTAGAAGCACCTAGAACTTTGGAATTGGCATAGTATAGATCTAAAGAATAGGAAATGTTGACAGATCAATAGGAATGAAATTCCAGATCCTCTTCTCAAGGACCCAGGTGGGTTCCCTTCACTCTGGCATAAATTACACTCTGGGAAGTTAAGCCTAAAAATCTTTGGTCTTGGGTAACAAGAAAGGAAGGCTGAGAAGTTTCATATCCGAGAACTCCAACAAAGGCTGCCTCTGATATGAAGAAGGAACCCAGCAGTCAAGTCAGTCATAACTTGAAGAAGAATATTACCCTCCTCTACTACACATAACTTCCTGTTGGCCTTTATCCCTGTGCCCACTGAGGCAGGGCTCTAGGTGACAAGGTAAGCCCACAATGGGCCTCTGTCCAGTGGTGGTTTTGACCTATTATCTCAGGGTCAGTCTACTGCTGGCTTCTTTCATTATGTCACTGACCAAGACATGGAGGGATGTTTCAATTAGCTGCTCCAGGAGCCCCAACTTCCAGACCCAGGACAGCCTAGAGGCAGGATTCCAACTCTTACATGGTAGATATAGAGGAAGTCAGTCACAATTTAACAGATAATGACCATCCCGTGGTTGTTGTTAGGTTTGTTGGTAAGGAGGAGTCAACCAAACTGTAGGGCATGAAAGTGAAGGAACACTTGAGCAAGGTCCTTACTAGTGGACTCTGGAGCCCCAGTCTGTGGACAGTTTCAAATCAGCAGCCTCTCCGTGGTTAGTGGGAAGATGACCAGTTTCATAGAAAGGAAACTTGAGACTTCAACAGCTGTGAAACCAAGTTCATCACAAACCACTTCAGAAGACAAGCAGGATACCTCAGAGAGCTGCTCATCCCCATAAAGGTGTGGAAGCAATGGAGAGAGCAGTGCGAGAGTGGCCTCCCAGGTTAGTGCAGCTGCGCATGCAGCTGACAGAAAAAGTTACCTAAGCACAGAGTGTGGAGATGCTGTCCACCAGATGCAGCTGGAACTGGGGAAGATATCATTCCTGCCCTTGATTAAGAAGGAGAAGACTTTTGTCCCTCAGCCATTCATACCAGGACATTCTGCTAGGGTATACTCTCTGCATTACAGAGAGTACTTAAATGGGGTCTTTCCAAGTGGGAGAATTTCTCATTAAGGAAGAGGGTAGCAGCGGTCTTCTCAAGTCTGAAAATGTGGGCAAAGAAAACCTTCCTGCAGCAGCACAAACAGAAAGACTGCTGCTCCAAAAGCTGGCAGAGAGCAAAGTACTTTCTGTGACTCTGCTGGAGGACTGTGTAGGGACGTGGTAGACTCAAGGAAGTGTGATCTTTCTGTTGAGATGCTGCAAGAGACCATTAGTACACTGCAGCGAGCCATATTAAAGATTTCTCAGCCGCAGAAGCAGCTTCTTATGAAATCCAATGAAATATCCACTCCAAGTCCCACAAATAATCACCAGGACCAAAAAGGCAAGGCATCCATCTGTCTTGTCAAGCTGCTCTGTCCTGCTGGAATGACTTCACATTTGTGAATATCAACATGAACTTCATCATCGTGGTCAGGTAGATCAACTGAACTGAAGGTGTGAAAAACAGACAGGGGCCCCCTCTCAAAGTAAAACCCCAAGCCTGTGCTCAGAAAAGTAAATGAACCTCACAAGAATTCAGTATTAGAGGAGCTGCAGGAGTGTGGATGCTGATCTCTACATCATCCTGATTTGTGATGCTGGCTTCCAGTAAGGAACTGGAATACTGTCCAGACACTGAAGAAATCTTCCAATTAATTAGTGCAAAGACAAAAAAATCATCAGGAAAATTTTTATAAATTCAACTCAAAAACAGTTCCACTTGATCCCAGACAAACTTATGTGGTCAATGTGGTCATAAACATTTATGATAGCCCAAGCCACCCATAGTGCATCAAACCCTGCAGGTCATATTGATACCATCTACACTTACTGTTTGTTATTTCCATATACTTGAATATGAAGTGTGCAAAATTGCAGATGTTTTTCAAAGAGACTTCTGGATGACAAAAGAAAATCCTCCCTTAGCTATTACCTGCCCCCTAAAGAATGCAAAAGGTGGGGGAAACACTTGGTTTCTAACTCTCCTGTTACTGTCTCTCCTGACCTCAAAGGTTTTCAAATGAAGGGTACATGGGACTAAGATCTCTGGGTCATAGATTCCTTTTACATGAGTGTTCCTTCAGTATAAATCAAACATGATTTACTTTGTTTTCTTGCCTCTCACATCGTCCTCTTACTCACTTGAAGTGACACCTCTCTTGTTGGCTAGTGATAATATGAGGTTATAGGGGTCAAGGTATTTGAATGTCTAAGAAATGAATTCATACTGTGGGAAATCTTCCTCTTTTGAAAAATTGTGCCTTTATTGATTAAGATAGCCAACATTTACATTCAATTCTAAAATTGCTTTTAAAAAAATTTGTCCTTTGATGCTCAGAAAAAGTTTATTGAAATATAGGTTCACTAAAAGCTCTGAAATCTTCAAATCTGTTTTCTGCTAAAATAGCATTTACAAATATGAAGATAATTCTTTCTGACCCATGATCATGAGGATGGTAAATGGAACTCTTAACTGGCATTTCTGAAGGCTGCTTATATCATTTAGAATAAAATCTGAATCCCTTAAAAGACTCATGATACCCTGCACAATGTGATCTCTGCCATCCTTTTCAGCCTCAAACACCCTGTACTCTAATACAGAAGATTCACTGCAAGTATTCTCTCTCTTTGGAATACTTTCCTTCCCACTTTTCTAACACCTGCTTATCTCTTAGGAAACAGAGGACATACATCACCAAAGCATATCCTGTATCCCTATTACATTTTGCATAGCACCCCATAGCATTTCTCTTCACAGCATTTATATTTTGTGTATAACATGTGTCATGAAAAATGTTTCATCTAATGTGTGCCTCATTTACAACCTGTAAATGCCATGAAAGCTGCACAATTGGTGTTTTGCTTGCTGTAGTTCCCCAGCAGAGCATAGATTGTAAAAGCACTGAAATAATTGTTGAATAAACAACTGACTACTTATTGGATGAATTAATAATTATTTTCAGTGCACTTAAAAGTACAGGAAAGAAAAAATCAGACAGGAGAGATATTACCTAAATAGAACTTTTAATATATGGTAGCAAGATAAATGTAAAGGGCAAAATAAAGAAAGGAGAACCTTAGGCCTCTTGATGAGATAGGTTTATGCAACTAGGAAAAGGATAGGACCACTAAAATAAGTAGGGAAGTTAGAAAGTGATATTGTTTGGGTAAAGAGATGGCGAATTTGGATTTAGACAAGTTGAATGAGAGCCAATTCCATTTTCACTGAAATTGCAAATATGTGACTGGTAATATAGGCATATAATTCTAAAATGTGTCTGTGATTAGAGGCAAAGTTTTTTTGAAATTATTTTAGTGTTGTCAAATCCTCTATTTACATATTTTTCCAGCAGATGTATATTCTTAGAGTGTCTTAGACTTAATTTTTGTAAGTCATCTCACACTTGTCATTGCTGGTCTTCCCCCCACTCAACGGTAAGTGCCAGGAAGACAGTTTCCTTAGGAAGAGACTCACTAAATATACCACATTGTGAGTACTCTGGAAACAGAGTAGTCAGGAAAGCTAAACTTAAAGTTGTTGAATGGAGAAATATCCCTTTATTCCAATGCCAGTGATGGCAGCCACACCAGAGAAATTTCCATTGCACAGCCATCTAGTATTAGCCCACCAATGTGATGAACAAGTAAATTTAAAATCAGTGGGCTAATAACAAGCTGTAGTTAAAATATGTGTTTCTCGGATAGCTTCTTTTACTGTAATTAAAAATACAGCATATAGTTTACCTAATTATCTGCCTCAATCTGCCCTAATGTGAAACAGATTATCCCACTATCTAAAGTATGCTATGGATGTAAATTTGCCAATTTTGAAAGTACATTAAAACTTTCAAGATAGAATTTGGCCTAAATTCTGAAAGTATCCCCTCAAATAGAGGTTTACCTGTACCTTCCCTCTCTATTCTTGTGCCCAGAGAGTTATGTCTTGTCAAGGTCATTAAAATTGGTTCTGAAGGTCAAATTGTGGACTGATTATGTTACATAGATATGACTTTAAGAAATTTTAAAGGAATCCCAGAAATCCCACGCATTGGCATAAGCAGACTGAATTTATGATTAACATATCAGCTACTCATAGAAAATATGAAAACAACAGGCCTTATTTTAAATAATTTAATTTTATTAAAATATATCAGCATTATTTCTTTTTATTAATGCTTTTGCTCCTTGGCTTCATTCAGTTCAATTCACTGAACTATTTGCTTAAAGTACATAGGCATTTAACAAATATTTCCTAAAATGAACTGAAAAGTACATCATGACCCACTAATGGTAGATAAAGTGACGTGGAACTCACCTTTAAACAAAAATCCAAGATTTTTGTTAACCTATTAACATTAATACAGTGTTGATCTACTTACTGTTTTACTTTTTGTGAATTGTGCTATATTGTGAAACCTAAAAAGCAATATTGAAGAAAACTACATTCTGTGCTTACATTTATATAAATTATATAATTGTTCATATGGTGTATTATCACATAATATTACCAATTCATTAGCTACAATAAACTTCTTTTCCAAAGAGTTATATAAAATACACATGAAATTGCTTCATTTTTAGTTTTTCCCCCATGGTATAAATCACTTTTCTCTGCCTAAGATGTCACTGTCTCTCCAGCAGGTTAATCCCAGGAGGCTTAGCAACTATAATTACTACATTTCAATATTCTACATATCTGTCAAGACTTAAAAGAATTCTGTGGTGTCAGTTTAAATATAAATATATGTAATTCTAGTTAATCATCACTTAAGGTAGTTTTGAAAACCACATTACTTACTGCTACATATTTCAATGTTTTAATGCGTATGTTGTGTAGTATGCTATATTGCAACTCTCTCTATTGATTTATTGGTTAAGAAAATGTCCATACTGATTCTGCCAGGCTTAAAGTGTTCTCTTTATACAGAAAATACAGTTTCGCACTGAGGTAAACTTGTCAAGATCATTTCATCTAATCGCTGAAGAGAAAAGAACACCAGAAAAATCACTTTGTGCTTTAACATGGAGCTCAAAGTGAGGTTGGAAATCTCATATAAATACAGTATTTCAAGAAAATACTAACAAAACATATTACAAGCTTTTCATTTGTTTCCCCTACTTCTAAAGAAAACCTTTATATTTACCAGTGACCATACTAACGGTCAATAGCTTCCATTCTTCTTTTGCCTTTAAATGTAAGTACAGATTTTGTGCATTTTGTAATTTCATCTTATAAACAGCTTCAATGACCCTGTGATGAAAATCAAGCATTTTGATGGTATAGTAACTACACCTACATAATTTTACACTGGGATGGGTCATTGGGTTGCTATATTTACCTTCAAGTTAGATTTGTTCATGTGTCTGTATTTATTTATCCTACTTGAATAGCCCTTACAGTGAAGATAAAAGTATAATTATTTGTACAACAATGAAAGATTCAGGGTGCCAGAACCTAATATCCTAGTGCCCAGCAACCATAACTAGCACCAGTGAATAGCACTTCAAGGCTTTTAATCTCCATGACAACCTACCTTGCCGTTCTTCAATAAAATACCACTTTGCATGCATACAAACATATTCTTTATGCACACAGTCTACTTGTTAATAAATATCACTTGTACTGAACACCAAAAAAAAAAAAAACCTTCCTTTTAAATAACTCTGAGTTCTCCCTATAAAACTAATTAATTGAACTGAGAAGGAACTTAATTTATATCTTTACATCTGTAGCACACCTACACAGTAAACCACCAAAAGACTTTTTGAAATAGAAGTTGAAACTGATACCTTATTCAATGTGAAATGCTATAGAGACACTACCCCCAAAACCCTCTTGGGTGTTGTGTCAATAATACTTTCTTGTGGTGAGTAGGTAATTTCATCTGAGACCTACTGGTTTCTGATGTTCTACCATAGGAAAATAAATACCACTGTAGGCTTCGGATTTTTTGTTATTCTACCAAATACTGAATAATTCCTTAATTTTTAGGGTAAGATTGATTATGTCTGTTGATCTGATTCTTGTTTTCTTAGAGACATGATTTTGTTCATTTTGTTCCTCATTAGTTTTTACAATCAACAGTATATCAGGAAGAACTGGAAAAACAGTAGATTAGGAAGAACTGGGAGAGAAAACTAGATGGTGATTTTTCTGCCCACTTTATTGAATGGTTTATTGAATGGGTGGAAGATTAATAACAAAATTTATATTTGAGATGATCTGTTGATTTTCATTATCTGTACATCATTTTTTAAGAGGAACAGAGTTGGTTTACTGCATAGAGAATTCTTAGTAGATGGCCTAAGATGGGTTCTGTATTGATCAGAGGGTCATCAGAA